CACGATCCGATACGCACTTACCTTTAGGACACTACACAGATAGAAAGATCCACAGCAGTCTAGGTTTTGCCATTGTCCTTTTCAAAAGTACATTACATGTGCACCAAGTCACCTGGATGTTGCCTCCCCCCCCCCTCCCTTGAGAGAAAAACACCCATCGCAAGCGTATCATGGAGAAAAGTCGGTCTCGACTGTTTATGGCTTTTTTTACCCCATTGTGTATGCTCTGTCGCTTCGAGGGTTTCTCCGCTGTGCGCCTGTACAATACTCAGAATCAACTGCGAAAGAGAGGACTTCATTCAGAGCACTTTTAATAGTTTGAGACAACAGTTGACGAAAAATGAGCGAGCGCCGCGCCAAACAAAGCCCCCGGCAGGCCCTGGTGTCTGCCCCAGAAGAACTTCAACTCAAAAGAACGTTTCAGAGTTGACGATTCTCCCGATGGAAGAGGTTCTCACTCAACTCAATTCATCGCTATGGTCTTTGGCAGAGAAAGCCAAAATCTCAGATAAACTGAACGGAGACAACATCACCGTCATTACAAGCTCCGAGAACGAAGCCAAAGTGAGTTCAAACCTCTTTCAGTTACATCTGGTAAAACTGCGCACCAGCCCATTGAAATCTTTATTATAACCATATGATAAGCAGGGAAATGATATGAAGATTGAAAACTTTTGAAACTTAACCGGACTTGTTTTAGTATGATAACTGTAATGATTAACAACCTTTGAGCTGATATTCTAACCATAAGAGCGACACTGGTGAAGTAATGGATAGCGTACAATAGCAAGACATGCGAGTTCGGGGCCCGTCTGGGTCTGGTCCCACGCTATGGCAGTGCTTGCCTACCCGAGTATAGTTGGGTAGCAAATTCGTCCTGGAGCTTCTAAGCACTGAAAAGTTACAACTTACTGAAAAATGGAGGGCACATCCTGGCACGGGGATCTTCCAAAAACAGACCATCTACCAATGTTCCTCGTTCCGTACAACACCCCTCCCCCTATCTCAAAATTAGCTACCCCCTTACCAAATTCCACCAAAATTTTGCCGTCGCCCTTGGTGTAGGGGTAGACACTTCCCTCAACCATCGGAAATAGTGGGTTTCTTGCGCCCCGCCGCCGACTAGGAAGTCCAACGTGCTCCTGAAGCGGAAAGGATTGGAAGCACTGCTCTCAGTGCAAGAACGATCCCCTCCTCCCAGCGACTAAACCTGACTATGGCTGGAGATGTTCGCGACGCACGTGAAGACGCCCTGTAAAAGTAAATCGTGCGATATCTGAAGACACCACTGAGCGTGGATGCTTCTGAATGCAATGCTTTCATTTGGTTATTTTTTTAGCCGGAGGATCCTACCTCGTACGTGCTGAACCACATCATTCCTCGAAAATACCGTAGTTACGAGTGGAAAGACGGAGACGTACTAAAGACTTCTGCTGGAAACGAACTGGTAGTATCCCAGTTTGAGGACGCATTTGGTTCGGTGGTGAGTTTACCACCTACTATCGGCTTTTCGAGTTTCTGATGGCATGTATTTCAGAAACCTACCTTAACTGCCTTCCATTGGATTCCGCTTCTTATCACAGCAACAACGGAATCGTGTACTCTGTAAGCGGCAAATTGGAGCCAGCCGCAGAAACGGTGCTCTCTGCCCTACAGAACGACGACCGCTTGGCTATTTTTGTTTCTTGTACGTCCAGCTAGTAGAATGAAAGGAGAAAGTGCACACTGGTTGTGTGGGCGTTGTTAGGCCGCGTTCATAGCTTGCGACCATTAAGAAAGTGAAGAAGTGCCGAAACTGCGGAAAGTGCGGAATCTGCAGAAATGCCGAATGTGAAGAAGGAAATACAAACTAGATTTGTAGGCATTTGAAGAGGATGCGAAAGTGCGGAAGGTGCACTTTCTTCAAATCGATACGTATCTATTGCTTTTCTTCACTTTCTGCAGATTCCGCACTTTCCGCAATTTCTTCAAATCGATACATATCTATTGCTTTTCTTCACATTCGGCATTTCTTCAGATTCCGCACTTTCGGCATTTCTTCACTTTCTTCAAATCGATACGTATCTATTTTGCTTCTCGCTCTTCACTTTCTTCAAATCGATACGTATCTATTGCTTTTCTTCACTTTCCGCACTTTCCGCACTTTCGGCACTTCTTCACTTTCTTCATGGTCGCAAGCTATGAACGCGGCCTTAGATGTACCAGTGTCGTCATCGATTCATCGCTTTGTCCTAATATTCCCAATGAAAGGACGCGGCATTGATAAGGTGAAAGGCCTGACCCCGCCCACATGGTTAGCGTGCGCTGAGCTTTTCCTATGCAGTCTTCCATACTCCTTCTACTCAGTTCTACTTCAGTACTCTCCAATGATCTCCGCGAAAAGTTGTCGTCAAATAGCTCGTTTACCGTGTTTGCACCATCGGACAAGGCTCTGAAATCGCTGTCCAGCTCCCTTCTGAAAGAAATAAAGGAGGGTACAGGATGCGCATCAGGTAAAAATACTGGATTGAGCGAGATATGATTTTTTAAAGAGTATTATAATTATAATGTAATATAATAATGACGTATAATAATTTATACGTATTGAAACTAGGAGAATGTAAACCTGTGAACATAAAAAAGATTTTTGAGTATTTCCTTTGTTTCGAGACTTTTTCAAGTCTCACATTGTCATTTGGTGGTCAGATGGTTGTGGGGCTTGAGGGTACTTGCTCAGAATGTAAATCGTTCTCTCTGATTTATAAGGGATGGAAATGTTGTAGTAAGATGAAAGATGCTTAGGACCAGCTCCCAGAAAATTTACCATCTTCTTACCCTTTTTTACGTTTCCCAAAAAAGTTCTGAAGTTTCTTTTCAAAACGAGATGTGATGACTTCACTGCACCAAAAAACGAGGAAACCGAGAAAACTCAACAAGAGGGGAAAAATTATCTCAGAAAAATTTCTATCAAGAAGGTCAGGGCCAGGCACGATCCCACTCCCATGGAGACAAGAACACACGACCCTTTCCAATGGAAATCTTCCAATGATGTAAGATGGAAATAGCGCGTGTTACCGGAAAAAGCAGCTATCAAAAAATTTTCTCCTGTCAAATAAGATCCCCTCCACCGACCAGACACGACCCGTATGACGCGCCCTAACTATACTGAGGAAAGGATGGTTCCGGGAATTTTGACTTTTATCCATCTTTAGGAAGCCCATTAAGCTCCGGTAAGCTCCAAGAGCCCCTAACATACGATTACAAGTTGACCAAGCGCTTGTAATTTTCTATATGAAGGCTCATATTGGTCGGTCGCTAGTGGAAAACGTAAATATCTTCTTTTATACCGTGAATATTTCAGATTTTGCAAGCAGTCATATCGTCAATGGTTCTTTCTGCTCTCACGATCTCCATGATCGTCTACTGAAATCGCTTACTGGAAGTGAACTCGAGGCTCGAATTCAAGTAAGTGAGCACGAAGCTTATTCACCTAACTAGTACCTAGCGGTGGTGAAATATTGGGCGTACGACGTCCACTGAAGGAGAATGACCGTATGAGATCAGCGTAAGAAATTGAACCTGGTTAGTACATCGGTGCATATTGTTGTGGGATTTCCATGGGTTCGTAATCGGTCGCCGAAAAGAACGGGTCTCGTGTTTGGACTGATGGAATTATTGATTCTTCCTCCCGGTCGGTGTCGTTAATGTTGTTGTTGATTCGAGGGCCGATCAATGCTTCTCTCCCACCCACGTCCCCCTCGAAATAACACCGGGGCGTAGAAGGGGTATGTTTACGTAAACAGGGAAAATGTTTTATATTCCCATCATGAATGCAACAACGCACCTCATCTTCAACATTTGGAACGAAGTTTCGCGGACGGGACTGTGGGGATCCCCTTTGAATCATCGCGGATCCTACAGGATAATCCGGAGAAATTCCAAATGAGCACTCTGTTGTAAAAGCTTATGAGGCCCCTCCCAACTACGTTAGCACCAAGCGAGAGCAGTGTTTCCTCAAAGATAGATGCAGTTTGCATGCGCATTTTCATAATGTTGATCCCAGCCTCATCTTTTAGACTAAAGGAAACGAGAGAGTGCTCCACATTGGAAGGGCAAAAGTGACAGTCAGCGACATTTTCGCGAAGAACGGAGTCATCCACATAATTGACGATGTCGTCTTCAACGATGAACGTGAGTGCTTCTTTTCTGAACATCCTGCATGTAAAGGGCTAATGACGTAATGTTAAGTACTATCGTGGCGAGAACATCTGGAGGTTCATAATCGCAAATTGAAAGAGGCGCTCGAAGATGTGGTGACCAACTCGAGTGAAAAACTAACGATTTTCGTTCCACCGGCGGACAACAGTACAGTGAGTTCCTGATTTTAAGCTACATTTCCTCCCACAGGCAACGTTCATACTTCGCGTCTCGGGCGACCCAGTCGCGCGACTACGACAGACCGCGCTCATCCGCCAATCGCAGACCGCGCTCATCCGCCAATCAATGAACCGCTGCAAAAAGATGAAAGAACTTTTCTTCACAATTAGCGGGGCTGTATGCGAGGAGCCAATCCTACTCTTGCGCCTACTGCCCCTTTTTTGCCTTCGTACAAAGAAAGGACGCACTAATGCAGTGTTCATACTTCGCGTCACTCGCTTGCTACAACCTACTGCGCTCTGAAAGAAGTTTTTTGGCATCGAATTAGCATTCGTAGCGGTCCAGTAGTCTGCGGTGAGGCTCGCCCGTTCACGGCTGCCTTATTTCAGTACCGCGCGATTTCATCCCTCGAGTCGCAAAGTATGAACGCGGCCTTATGAGGATTAAAGAACAATATAACCTGATCTGCCCACACTATGTAGAAGCGTAAATAACTATATTTCTGAAGCGATATTCATAGATATAATGCGAAAGCAACCTAAAAGTAGAAGTAAATGCTGTAATTACGGAACAATTCGATTTCCAGATCACACCTGAGTTCGCCAAGAATCACGTGATGGTCGGCCAATTGTTGGAGGATCTAAGACGCCCTTCAACAATGACAACGCAGGCCAATTCTACGGTAAGTGCCAAGTAGCCTAACTTACCAACAGTTTTCACAAAGCGAACGGATCTTTCGAACCGAGGTAGTTCCATTTCAGATCTTCACCGGTTACTCACGAAAAGTACCTCCTATTTGGGTGCGGATTTCGATGCAACCCCGTGAACGGCTACGAGGACAAGTTGGCTGCTCGAGAATCATCGAAGACAGCGTAAAAGGGTGTCGAGCAATTCTTCAGTTCATTGAAAAGGTAGAAAATAAGTGCATTAGGTTTTGG